AATTTTGAGTTGGTGAGAATAATACTCATGTACAGTCCTTGTGAAAGTTGTGTTCTTCTTGAGAGGAAAGTACTTTTATTTAAAATTGTGTTTATTATAAAGAGATGGTTGTTGCACATACCACAGTTATTTTTCTAATTGTCTAAATCTTGAATACTTTTATTTGGGGAATTTGCCCCTCAGACAATCCCAAGACTCTTATGTGTCACCCCAATTTTTAGTATGTCGTACTTGTAAAGTTTTATGTGTAATCTCATATATTTGATGTCAGTTCTTTTAAGATAGTGTTTTCTGTATATTTATTAGTCTGCTATTTTATTACTCAAATCATTTAATTTATCTAATTAGATAGTAGAACTTAGGTACAGTATACTCAGTGTTTTATCATTTCTTCTATTGTCTATCATTTCCATAGACATTTTGTAACATGTAGTAGTCCTTGGCAATTGAACATGAACCACATTTTGTTTATTTCATGTACCCAACTTCTCTTGTGAGTTAACTTATATATGCATGTATAGCATATGATGAAATTAGTTAATTCATGTGAAACATGAATGTTGCAACTACCCTGTACAAACAATAGGTATTGTTTGGTTTTATTATTTTATTGTAGGCTTGTGTATCTAAGCATTGGGATACAAAAATAATGAAAGTGCCACTTATAAACTACATGTACATACAGACCTTTACTTCTTCATAATAAATGTTACATTTTCTTAATATAAACCCCTAAAAATAGTTAATTGAATGTAGGTTGATTTTTTTTGTTTGTTAGTAATTTAGCAGTGGCACAACTGAAATGATATACTACATTCATAATTTTTTGTCTTAACTGTATATAGTTTCATTGTGAGTTTTATAAGTATATTAAATTTTATACATGATAAGTTTCATGAATTGTATAAAATAAGACTATCACCTTATTTTGGTAAGTTAAGAACACTTTTTGAGAAACAAAATCTCATAAGATGATTAGATGATAATACCAGCTTTTAGTGAATTTTGTTCTTATTATGCTGCTTTAATTGAATTCCACCTGTTTTGTATAGTGTATAATTTATATTGTGTATGTACGTAAATTTAGTACATAATCATTTACACGTCTGGAATTTTCCTTCACATTATGTCATATCTTTGATTATTTATAAATATTCAAAATCAATTTTATCTAAAGAATTACATATAAGGGGCAAATTCTATCAGTCATATTGCTAGATACACAAGCACTAGATAATGTTGGTAAGAATGTACAATTTTCATATCACTAAGCCATATTTGTGTTATTAAATGCACTTGAAAATAAGGTTATGTTTACAGTTTCCTTAAACTGTTAAAGGTAAATATATGTATTGATTTGAATGACAGTGTTGCTATTTCTTTTTATTGAGTGAAATGCATCTAACACCTATCATTTATATTCTTCCTGTACATTGTATACCATGTATATCACCATGACACATTTTAATAGTGTTTAATGAAATAATCATTGCTCTGGTTTCAAAGTTAAGTTGTTATATTATTCTATTTTATGTTTCCATTGTGCTTACCTGTAACTGAACAGTAGTAGAATTGAAAACCAATAGGTATCAGTTTATGTGAAATTGTAAATATGAATTTTTCAATCATTATTATTGCTAATTTTAACCTACTGCATGATGTGAATTTTGCTTTGTATCTATAATAACTGTGATGAAAATTTGGCCATTTTATGGCCTGGTTAATGTTTGAATAGTTTGAGGGTAATGCAAAATATGTAGAACCATATAGCAGCTCAAATAAAGATTGGTTTTCACAATTTATAATAACTAGCAGAAATGCTGCCCTCCTGGCAGATGTTTGTACTAGTAATTATTAACTGTAGTATTCATACCTCATAAAGAAAAACTTAGAAAATGAACATTTTCTAAAAGCAGATTTTTTCTGGGAAGTGCAGCACAGGAAAAGTGTTCAGATTTGCTCTTTAATCATTTGCAACTCATTGCATCAAAAGGATTCAACGTACAGAGCTCAAAATTTTCATATATACTTACTGATATAAACTGTAATGTTTTTATATGTTAAAAGTGGTACCATTTATTGAAAAAATAATAGTTTTTTTTTTAAGAACTCCAGTTTCTCAGTACTACATTTAAAAGTTACATCAATAAAGATATAATCAAATCCTCACGTACAGTCCTAGTGAATGTTGTGTTCTTCTTGAGAGGAAAGTACTTTTATTTAAAATTGTGTTCTATTATAAAGAGATGGTTGTTGCATATACCACAGTTATTTTTCTAATTGTCTGAATCTTGAATACTCAGAGTGTGAAATTTTTTATGGGTTTTTGTTTGTGATACCATTCAATAGATGGCGCAGGAGTTTTGGTTACATACATAGATACTGACATACACGCTACGTCCATTATACATTTAAAGATGATGATAAAAAGATGAATGCCTAGTCCTTTAAGCCTCTTCTTCACCTCTAGTGACATTCTTTGTAATGGCCATGATTATGGACTGTTGCTGGGGGTCTAATTTCTGTTCCAAGAGATTTTTGCACAATACAGTAAAGTCATTTGTCTGCTTCTTCTTTACATGCTCTTCAAAATCTATCAACCATACATGGATGATTAGTTTTGAGGACATATTTAAGCAGAAACCCAAAGGTACAGAAGTCAGAGGGAGATATTTATGAATGATATAGCATGATTTCCTTGCATCTTGTAGAGGAACTGTCATGCTGACTTTGACATGTAGCAAGATGTTTTCTCTTTAAGGAGCTCCTTGTGGTATAGTGGTATCAGCGTGTAGGGTTTACTTCGGCACTTTTCTTGTCTTTTTGAATGTTTGAAATACCATTATAGATGCAACTTACCACCAAAATGAATTCATTGTGAAAACTATTGCAACATGCTTTATACTATTTTTTAAATTTTGTATCACAGGCAAAATGGTAATGAAATACTTGTTCATTTGCAAACAGGTCACATGTCTGTATAACTTTTAGCAGGTGGTCTTCTGTTTGTCACATGGTTCTTTTTAATCACTTTTGTAGACCTAAATACATATATTATATTGTATTCACAGTTCTAAGCCCTAAGGAAATATCCTACTGTAGCTTAAATGAACTACTATGTTCTTTGGTTACTTTAGTGATGCTGTTTAACTTTCTTCACTACTTCTAGTGTGTGTGTGTGTGTGTGTGTGACTAGTTGTCAATCATGGAGTAGCCTGTTTTTTCCTTGCTGAAATCATGCTTTCTCTTGCTTTACAAAGAAGATAAAACAATATAGATAATTCTTTCTTTGAAATGTTAAAATATCATGGCTTGTATACTTTTATAATTACATGAAAGAGGAACTTTGCATCTGAAAAGTCTTTTACTACAACTCTTCTGGAAGAAGTAAATTTTAGGTGCTATATGAATTATAACAAGAGGATTAGGGCTGTTTTGTCAAAGGCCTCAGGGGTAGCCATGGGCAAGGTGATAGGATATGTAAGTTGTTTTCATAGATTGCAAAAAAAAACAGTTGTAACTTACAGAAATTTAAACCCAAATGAAGTTTTTGATAAATACATCACAAGTTTTATCTCTTTACTCTATATTTCTAGATTCTCTGCACTAGACTGCATGTAATAGTAGTATCTTAGGTTTTTTGTAATGCAATTATCTATGATAATAGTACAATACTGATCATAATCTTTTTACAAGCAAAGGTATCCTAATTCACAACTACAACAAAAAAAGTAGCCACCTTCAACTACTAGACTGATATAAATATTAGAGTTCATTAGGTATTAAAATTAAAATATTAAATCAATTACTATGTACTATTATTCTTCCTAGCAACTCATCTTGTTCATTACAGTTAGTATAAAAGGAAAAGTTATTAAGTGAGGTTTAATTCATCAAGTCTCTTGTTATTTGTCGTCTACTATTTCACATGATAGTGAGTGGAGTTGAACAAGGTGTGAGTGAAACTCTGTACGTACGAGTGCAGTTGAACATGGCATCAGTGCAATTCAACGTTTATTTTGCGAGTGAAACTTGATATTTTCTGAACAGTTGGTCTTATATATATATATATATCTTTATTCAGCTCATTAGTGTGTTGTTTGATGTTTAGGATTTTAGTTTTTAGGCACTACTTTGATTTAAGCATTCTGTTCCTTGTTTGTTCCATTGGCAGTGTTTTGAGAATGAAAATTATTTGATTTTTGCGTCTTGAACCTTCTGTTTTTCATTCCACTTGTTCTCATACATGTTCACGTAACATCCATATAAATGTGGGCGTTAAAGAAATGTATGCGATACTTGTTCAGACTGAATGCTTATAAAAATGGCACATGTATTTTTTTCTTAGTTAGTCTCGTATCCGCCAACCAAATTAGAATATCTTGAACAACTTGTTTGTCTTGTTCATGCGTGACTTTATGAAAGAAAAAAAATAAAACGTCATAGCATGAACTTTATTGGTAATTTTTTGAAACAGTGTTGCGTTCTGTAAAGTTCTAAATGAATAAGTTAGAATAAAATTAATTTACGCGTAGTTTTTAAAGTAATACGCGGTCTTCGAAACCTGCAAGTGTAAGGCGTATAAAGATGCTGATTTCGTTTGCTTCTGGTTGACGTAATATTTGTGCCACAGAGTGCCGTTCTCGTACCTGAAGCTATTTGAAGTAAAAGGCGGTACCAAAGTAAGTCACTTACTGATGACGTGTTTGTTGGACTATTGAGCATATCCTCAGCTTGATAGGTAATCAAAAAACGTAATGACTGGCCCTTTGAAATAGAATAGTATTTTAAACTCGATTCGTATGGTTTCTTTAGATTTAAGATATGTAATAATGGGTTATGTTTTCTTTTCTTTCCACGGAGTTTATTACGCATTTGAGGGATGCTATCTGTTTATGCAGTTGTTTCACGTTGCGAAAAGTACAATATTTATGGACGATATGATGAAAGTGAAAACGATATTTGATCGTTTATTTTGTTATTGTTTGTTACACATTTAGCATCAAAAGACAGAAACTTGCGGCTCAAGCAATGTACACACCGCTGAAGATCAGTCTGACAGCCAAAGCTACAAGATTGGGACCCAAGTCGGATCAGTCTCCCAAGTCAGTTATTCACCGAGAGACTCGACTAGTCTCGCTCAGTCAGATATGGCCATTCCAGCGCCTATTTATTTCCTTATAAGAGAACATGCAAAGTCTCTAGTCGCCATTAAGGTAGGATTTTGTTATTTTTTTCAAGCATTTTCACTGTTGTAAATGCAATGTTTTTGAGCAAGGATTTTCTAATGATAGTGTTTGTTTTAAAGGTTCAAAAGATACATTTAAATGTAAATCCATTAGACATTATTACTAATTACTAACTAATTACATGTTAATGTTATTGTTTAGTGTGATGTAAGTACACTTAATCTAATTGAGAATTATATTATAATTTAAACAAGTTATGCTTATTAAAAATTATTATATAGTTAGCATTTAAGAAACATCAAGCTTTAAGAAATAATAGCAGCCAAGGTTTAAAGCTCATGTAGTTCATTAGATACTGTCAGATATTTTCCATAAAAGTAATTTTTAGTGATTTGTGCTCAGTTATAACCAGTGTGTGTTATATGAAGTCCACTATTTAGTTGTATTTAGGAACTGTTGTGTAAGTGAGTGTATATTATTTGAATTGTTGGCATTTCCCCAATTAATCATTAAGTTTCTGGTCATTGTGTGTATGAGTCACCTGCCAGTCCATAAATGATCCAGTGAAAATCTGATGTGTAAAATCTAGTAAAAGGAATCATAATAAAGAATTAATGAAAGCTGAAACTGATAGTGCTTTTGGTTTTCTTCCAAAAAATATTTTGTCAGGAATGTAACCAAAACTTAGAAACATTGGGAAATTGTATTAGAAAAGCTTAACAAGCCATGAATAGAGTGCATAATAAGTTTGACTGAAACTCTTGTCATGCCAATAACTTTTAAGAAAATGCAGTTGTCAAGATTTTTACATGGCAGATAGATGTGAACAACAAAATCATTACTGTATGATGAAATGTAATAAATAATATGGAACTTCTGCAAATGGAATGGACCAGTTACAGGATCATTTCTATTTATGGCAGTCATACAACTTGAATCTCAGTCAACTTGCTCCCTGGTATTTTGGCCAGAGGATGTTACAGCATCTGTAATACCTTTCATGATTAACCTCACATAATCAAACCATGTTTTCCATAACGTCACTTTTACATCATTGGACCATAGAATAACAATAAGAAGAAACTTGAGGAGACTATATTTGCCCAAAATATTATGTCCTGAATGAATGGATGGAATAATAAAATGCAAATTTCCATCACACTGCCAACATGAAACAACTAGCCATGAAGACACAGTCAAGATATCATAGGAAGACTAGATTGGTTGCAAATTATAAAATCCTGCTTTTTTCCAATAAGTTTTGAATTAGTTATTAGTAGTTGTTCAAAGCAAACTTTAAAAATGGGGTTAGGATGAAAGGATAAATATGTGAAAAACATAGTGGATTTATAATTCAATGCATAAATATCCTTCTCTGTAGTTGTAATTCATGAACATGTAGATTGTATATAACCAGTTCAAAACATAGATTGGTGGAAACATTAAAACAAGTAATCTTGGTTCACCTGTTAACCCAAATGAAACTTTAGATATGCTAGAATAAGAAACCCATTAGGAACACTGTATAGAATAATCTCTCAAATCAGAAATGTGTTTTAAATGTGGAAGCAAGAAATCATATTTTTGCATACAAAAAAAAAAACTATCATTCAGTGAAGATGCATATAGGTTGTGCAAGCTACAAGAGCATTATGAAGTTAGATGTGGTCAGTTTAAAGTAAACAAAGTGGAAGTTTAAAAGATGCATTTATAGAATTGTTACATATTTGAATAATTTATATTGCTTCTCCGAGATGTCCAGATATTGGATTGTAGAATGAGGATTATCATAAAATGGATAAAAAGTACGATAAACTATCTTGGCAAGTAGTCTAAGATGGATTTTAGGACTTTCCCTATAAAAAGTGAAATGTGTATATATATATATAAATTGTAGGGCTATGTATCCTTTGAAAATATGTGAAATTTGTATAACATGTGGCATTTAATACATCTAGAACAACTTTCATTGTTTCTAGTTTCTTTCTTTTTCCTTATATAAGCCTTTTAAATATGTATAATTTGAAGGAAGGAAAACCTTTTTTAAATATTGCATAACTTACATTCTGTAACAGTTTCTATTTAATATTAAAAGCATTATTTCTGAATCATGAAACAAATAAATTTGTACTTCTATTAAAGAACATTGAGTTTGGATCCCAGGTAACTTTGTCCCCCTAAATAGTGGTTATAATCACTAAAATTATGTTAAATGTTACTTGCAAATTAGATTGTGCATACTGTTATAGCTATATTACAATATATTGTGTAGCTAGAATTGCTTAATCATTATTAATGACTCATGAGGTTTACTGAGTTGATAATGCTTCATCATTAGCCTTTGGCAGTACCTCAAGTTACCCAATGTGACAACAGATATGTTTATAATTCTATATGATGCTAGACATTTTGCAATTTTAATTTGATATTAAATGTACCTATCAGAAGGCTCTGTTTATATGCTGAAACTGACAACCTTACAAAAGTTTGCCAAACACTATCTTACTCCTGGCTAAAAATTTGCAATTTTTGTGTATGTTTATTAAATGGTTTTTGGTTAACTTTTATGTATTAAAGTAGAAAAATGTGAAGGTGATAAAATAAAGAAATTAGACTTTTAGAGAAAAATCACCTTTAAAAACACTAAAAGTCTAATTTCTTTTATATATACATACATACACACACACATAACTTTTTACTTCAAATTAAATTTATATAAATTATGACTAGTTTTAATTTGATCCTGGACAGTAAGTTTTGAACTGGATGGCACTGCTGTACATGCTAGATTAGGAAAATCCCTGTATTTGTCATAGTGGAATTCTCTTTAAGTATGTAACACTTTCTTATACAAAATTTACAAGATTATTACAAATTTAAATAATTTATATTGCAAATTCCAAAATATATATATATATCTTAGCAGGTAGTTTGTGGATTATGTAACACCATTTTGTACAAGTGAAATTGGAAGGTAGCAAGATATTATGGAATTGAACTAGAAAGAAAGAAATTAAACTTGTATGGAAATTAATGTCTGTAATTAATTTTTTTAAACTATTTTTTCACCTCGCGTTCTTTTGATAATTATTTTTAACATATCTTTCTCTACTGGTGCATACCACTGAAGGTGAGTGGTCAAGATGCTATTATATTCTTTTTTTTTAGTGGAAACCCATATTAGGCTAGTAGTGAAAAGATTTGTTAAAACTTATTACTGTGATGTCACACAAACCAACAATCTTAAATATTATTGAGTGTGATGCCAGCAAAAAACAATGAGTAGGTTTTTAATTGTTTAGACAAATATTTTCAGAAAATGTAAAGAATTTGAAAACTTTAGCTTAATGCAACTTCAATTGGCTAATTTCCCAATACAATGGGAAGTATTATTTTACCTTTTGGAATCATCCGATTGGGTGGTTTGGTTTAGTAGCTATAAAGTATGCTGATAGCACCAAAGTACTTGGATCAGTGAAGAGTATAGTTTAATTTATACTTTTATGGATTAACTTATATACACACATAGATCTTGTATGATAACAAGATTGCTTTGACAGGCCTAATAATAAAATTTGAAACAGATGTTTTAACTCAAATTTATATAAGTTATATAAATGTATATATTTGTAGAGAAAAAAATACTTTTATTAATAGTATCTTTTATTGTGAACCTTTTATGTTTATGATAAAAATATTCTGAGAATTATTGGTAGTATTTTGTAATTGGAATTAATTTCTGAATTGGTGAAATGCCTTTTTATGAAAAAACAGGGTTCTACTATTGATACGTACAGGTTATGTATGCATGTGTGTATACATATATACGTATGGATGATCACTATAATATTGTAGTTGTTGCTTGTCGAAAAAAGTAAAACAGGTGTGCTAGTACTAGCCAATAAGAAAGCATGTAAAGGTGCTAAAAATACTGTTACACTTTTATAGATTATAGGTGTTTTGAGATTTATCATACATGTGGGATGTAGCTGGGGATAGGAGGAGATTTTGTTATTAGTGACTCCTTTTTTTTTTCGATTCAGTGATTTTAAGATGAATACATTGAGAGGTAGGTAAATTGATAAAAGTGTGTGCACTAAATAATGAATGAATAAAATATATTGTAAAAAAAGGAATTAACTCAATTACATAAAATCATTATATCGTAACAATACTTTATATATTTTATTGAAGGATATTGTATAGCTATATAATTTGTGTGTTCAAATTTTGTTTATTCTTTTGCAAGGGCTAGTGCTTGTTAAGGTAGAAAAATTAAATCATTGTGCTACATGGAAAACTATACTTTTACATTGGAAGTTTATATATAGGGCTTTCATATACATGTACATACTGTTCAACTGATCTCTAAACAGGTTCACCTATGCGTATCACCTGCTTTGTCATCTTACTGATGGCAGGCAATTCAATGTAGCTAACCTGTTTTAAGTGCTGCATCTCTCAGAAGTGGCTTTAATTGGTGTGGTAATAACTTCTGCATCATATGTAGCCCATTTTTTTATAACCTATTGATTAAAATAGTAGAAAATTTGTTAACAAAGACAATTTTTTTGGACTTTTTGGGTTACTGGAAAATGGTTTGTAGAGAAATGTAAAAGGTAGGGTAAAATCTTATTCCATTTGTGAACATTAATATTTACTGGCATTGTGTTTAATGTTTTTCTGGCCAAAAACACTTATTGTGGATTATTAATATACTTATTTCAGCACTGTATTACCATTGAGATATCTAGCACTTAGCTTAAGTAAAAAGTAAGTTATACAAATAGTGATTTTCGAGGTAGGATTTACATGTCTTCATTTGTATTTTTCAATATTGCTTTAAAAAATGGTAAAATTGAACATAAATATAATTTTAAATGGTAAGTAATACATTTTGGTAGGAAATATAATTATTTTAAGTTTTATTTTAAAAATTTGTGTTTTAAGAAGCTCACTTTCTTTCCACTGCATATATTAATTTTTTATGTTACAAATTCACTTACATATGTGTCATATTATGTTTC